CCCCCCCCCCCCCGCAAAACGCAAGGATGATCCTTGTGAAACATAGACAGCAGGATTTTCTATTACGAAAACATGTTGGAAAAAGGATACAATCGGGGACGTTGGGTCAGGGTAAGGGTTAGGGAATAGGGTCTGCCGCACGCCCTCCCCCTTCTACTTCCTTGTAATACTAAATTTCCCGCGAAGGCGGTCCAACATAGGTAGCCTGGGCGGGCGACAACCTGGCACATCGTTCGGTTCCGGCTTTGTAGGGACGCCAGGTCAATGGTCCAACGACTACGGCATGCGTGTACATGAGTATACACCCCCCTCCCCCTACCTCCCACGACTCAGCTCCCTTAGCCAGTTGTCCCAACAGCATCCCATGCGCACCTGCTGTTGCTGCCCCGCTTGGACCCTCCCCCCTCTCCCCCCGCCAGTCCGCCGGTACTCGCTGCGGCGGCCGCTGCAAACTTCGCCAAGGCTGCTGCAGTGGCATTGGGGGCACCACCTAAGCCGCCGCCGGTGCCGCCCGTCCCTGGCGGGCGGCGTGGTGACAGTTAAGCACCACAGCAGACAACACATGGGAAGATGTTTACGGACGCGGTGTCGGAGTTAAAGATATCGAACGGTCCACTCGTCAGACACAACAGCAGCAGTAGCAGTAGCAGAAGCAGCAGCAGAAAGAAAACACTTAAAAAAACTCATGAACCACCGAAAAACGGGAACTAAACCTGGTAGCACGACACTCCAAAAATGCGGAGAGTACACAATGCATGGTACCCGTGTCCTCGAACCATTTACGTCTTCCAAGCATCGATCGAGTCAATCTTAACCTTCCCTCGACACCCACACAGTAGGTGACACAAGAACAACGCCCCCCGGACCAATTTTCAAAGCTCTCCATTACTCCACCACCAAGGATAGGAGGTGCAAATCAACCGGTAGGGCTCTCGACGAGACGGTTCCAACGCCAACATTTTCGGCACTGCCACCACACTCTGGAGCAATCGAGCTTGAAAAAACTCGGTCCAGGGGCGTGTGATATATTACGTCATGTTACCTACGGTACACATCACACACACGCTTTGGAATGTTATGCCGCGTGCCATGCCACCCACTTTCCCAGAGGCCTTTCCAGACCTGAGGAGGATGCCCATCCGGCAAACGACGCCGTGCCAGAAGAATCCCCCCCGGAGTCATGAGACGCACCCTGAGCAGCAGGACACGCCGTAGCCATCGCCGCCGTCGCCATCTTCGCGGTGCTACCATCATCGTGACTTGACGCCTCCTTTACCATCGTTTCGTTGCTGGCGCTGCCGCCGCCGCCGCTGGAGGAGGAGGAGGAGACCCCGGTCTGCCGGAGTCACCACACGGGGGACAAACAAAAGGAGGGTCCATGGTTTGCCTGCTTGCCTAGAGCCGTTTCAAAGGACTTGGCCCATGTTCTTGCTTGCTTGCCTTCAATCGTCTAGGAGTACTGAGCATGCACGGTCCCGTTGTTATCGAGATGGGTGGATTCTTCCCATTGTTTCCTATTCTTCGTGATCTGCCGGGAAAAAGGTTGCGCGTTGGGGGGGGAGGTTGGGGGGGGTGTACTCATAGTCGTGCATGCCGTAGTCTTCAGATCATTGACCTCGCATCCCTACAAAGCCGAGACGGAGCACGCCGGGTTCTCACCGGACCAGGCTCTCACATCACCAAGCGCGGAGCGCCGTGAGATATTCGGCGAGTCGCATGAAGGGTGCGCTGCATCCTGCTAAGGGTTTTCGGCATCTTGTGCTTACTTCCTTGCGTACGGATGACAGCTGCGTATGA